AACATACTGCAAATCGTAATTTTAATATTATATATCAGTTGAATTCAACAAAATTACAAAAAACAATTATAAAAAGTAGACTTTTTTTAGCACTTCTGAAAACAAACCTTCTAATTCATATAAAATTCTACGAAGTTTTTTAAACAATTATAAAATTATTCCAATTTCTAAAAAATTCTAAAATTCAAATAGACATTCTAAAAAATATATGAAAATTTTTCACCTTGGATATTTCTCTATAAAATTTAATAATATATAATCACTTAAGTTATAATCTAATCTTGAAAGTAAATAATTATATTTATCAGGGACTATTACTTCCTGCAATTTTAACACGAAACTTCTGATAATTAGTTTCTTTTCTTTAAAAAATTACCTTCTTCCTCCATGTTCACGGATGAGATTTCCTCAGGCTTGGCCTCAATCCAAATTGCTTTCCTCCTACAGGTCGAGTATCATCGATGGCACGATGTCGCTTTTCTGCGACACTTCACCTTCTTCGCGACATATTTATTCGTTGTGCATCGTACAATGTTCTCAAATTTCCAAAATTTACTATCCAGTAAAGTGATTCGATTTCGCGCTATTCGTCTCCGCGCATATTGAATCCGGACCAGATCACAGACAAATCCAATACACGCATAAATAATAAAATATTTACCTTCCGATGTCGAATCCAATTAAATTTAAAATGCGCGAATTTTCACAATTATCATCGGCAGGTGCGCAGCTTCGTTCATTTTTTTATTAATTATTTTTGTTTTCAATCTACTTCCGCGTTTTATTTTTTATTCTTCGTAAGAAGATTTGGCAAAAAACATTCGCAGATATCAACGAGAAATGATATCGCTGGTCGCAGAATTGAGCTCCTGTTTCATCGTAAATCAATCACGAATTAATTTTCAGTAGATTCAAGGATTAAAATCGTTACTATAATTTAAATGCGATCGAAACTTGATTTAGATATTATATGCGTATTATTTTTAGGGAAGAGAAACCTTTTGTTTAGATCCTCCAATCTGAAATTTTTCACAGACTTTCGGTCCAACCGCTTTCGCAGCTGCGAAGCTTGCAACTGGTGGCCGAATTCCCACGTCGGGATCACCGAGACGCTTCCCTACAATCCCTTCGCGGTAACTCCGTTATAAGCTGCGCGAAAGCTCGTGTCATTCGTGACGCTTTAATCCAAGCATAATCGTCGAGAGACTGTTCGTAATTTCGAGGCATTTTTGCACATTTTCTTATCTTTGATGTAATCCTTTTTATAATCGCCAAATTTGAAATTAATTTGTAATTAATTATAATATGCATAGAAAAAATTCAATCGGGTTATTCTGAAACAAATTTAAACAATGATAAATTTTACAATTATTTTTTCTTACAAAATCCTGAGGAAAAAAATTTTTATATTTCGTATAATATTTTTAAGAATTTTTCATATTTTCAATTATAAAGATTTGATAAAAAATATCTACATATATACAGTATCATATATTATTATTATTATTATTGTTATTATTACATCATGACAAATGTACGAATAAAGAATGTGTTTTTTATTTTACGTACAAATTGTAATAAATAATTTGTTGTATAATTTGTTGTATATTTATAAATTATAAATTGATATAAGTAATTAAAAAGAAAATCTAAAACGATTTTTTTATAAAAAACTTTTTAATAAATGATACGTCTAAAACCATATACAAACTGAAAAATAAGACATATTTCCACTTGTCATATCTAGTGTTTGCAATCAAAATGTGACTCAACATCGATTATATTTATCTATTAATCATCTGTGTCAGATATATGTCAGTTATATGTCATCGTTTTATTACTTTTCTCATTTTGCGATATAGTAATGACGCTTCGTTTTTCTTAGCGCCGAGACTGCCATGTCTCCAGATTATATACATACATATAGCAATTTACATAATATTACAATAACTTCTCACAAACACATTGATAATATTTAAACACATGGAATTTACATGTTAAAAAAAGAAAAATTATTATTATAAAATTTTCTAATTTTTTTCTTACATTTTTTCTTATATATACAAAATCTATTAATGTTATAATATTAAACAATTTATTTTATTAGACAAAGTAAAGACAGAGATGTTAATTTTTTAAAATGAAGAAATATACTTTTATTATACATATTGATAAATGAATCACACCAGTGTTTATTTTGTACTTATATATATTTTTCATTTTTAATATGTATCTGTGTTTAGTGTATTATTTATATAAGTGTTGATTATGTATATATAAAATATATAAATTCTTAAAGAAATTCCATTTCCCGCTCGATGCCGACAAATTTAAGTTGCTCCGTTGGTCCATATCTAAAAATTACCATTTATACAGTTCCAATTATACAATTGATGAATCAATTAATATTAGATATTTAATATTACATAATATACCTATAATCGAAAAATAATTCTTCACCAGGTTGTATTGCTCTCTTAGCAAAAATACCTATTCTGTGATCACCGTTCACCATCATTACTTTCGCATAACAATTAGGATTTATTGAATGATTGGCAAATCTTATTTTATTTCCTTTTCTTGTTGCATCAACAACAAAATCTAGAAAATATTCTTTAATTTATCTCATTTTCAATTATTTACATGTTTATTGTATTTACATTGTACTTACCATTATTAAGATTGAAGAGAAAACTGCACATGTATTTATCGTATACCTTTCCTCTTCTATCGGCTTCATCTTGACTAATAATTTCACCGCAGTACTCCGAAATAAATTCATTCTTCGCCGCTGACTCTTTCAGGAAAATTCCCCACCCTGCTACATCTGAAGGTGCCATTAAAAGATGTTTGTCTACAAATAATATTTTCTTATACTTTGTGTACATCTTTGTTATTTTTAATAATATTTGAAATTTATTAATCTTACGAAGACCACGTTGTACGCTGACATTTTTACAAGATATTTTAGTGATATGGAATTGATCAGCGCCACACGTTTGACAAAGATCCGGGTCACATTCCCTTACGGCTAAATAACACGGGCATTGTTTCGTGTTGCACTGAGCCTTACATCTACAACCAGGAAATCGATTTTGGCACTCGCTGCTGCATTGACAGAATTTTTCGCAGAAATTCTGTGCTTGTATGCAGGGACATGAATTATCGCATTGGCGACCTGGATGATCGCAAGGTGCGAAATTATGAACATGATTAGCACCTATTGAAAGAAATATAATTAGAGATTGAAAGAAACATAATTTAAGCTTAAAATTTTTTTGAAATTAATTAATGAATATACCAGAATCTTTCTTAAGTTGTATCTTTCTGCAATGCATGGACCATAACCGATGCTTCTTTTTCTTTTTTCGCGGTGGCGTAAAGTCCTTCAGATTTTCTACAGCAGGAATATCCGAAGCTTCTTTTTGTGCAAATTCATAAACCTCCTGACAAGTTTTCGTTAACATAATTTGTGCTAATGCACATGGATTGCCAGGGAAAGCTTTGTGAAGAGCTCGGAACAAACTCTGTTCTGAACCTGTCCACGAGAATTCACTTTCAGTCTTAATTCGTTTGCCAATTCCTAATAACGTGAAGGGTGCCTGATTTTCAGGTTGTGCTTGATCCTCCATCATTTCTTCAGATTTGGAGTTATTTTTGTTAACGTTTTGTTTAAAGTCTAATTTGAAAAAAATAAGACTTCTTAGAATTTCATTAAAATTTAAAACATACACACGAAATCTAATGGATTATAATAAATTAATGAATTATATATTAACCTTGACAACTGCCTCCTTGACCATACTTATTGCTATCGTTACTATCCTCGCTGCTCGCTTCGTTTCCAGAATCGACGCTTGCTTGTTTTCGTACTTTCCTAGGACCACCGCGTTTCTCGTCACCTTCATCTTCTTTTATATCCGCCGCCTGTGCCGCCAGCTTCTCCTTCATCCCCTCCTACATAAAAAGTTAGATCAGATCTGACTTTGAGGATAACATTCATTAAAATATAGCATAATAACATACCAAATGCATGTAACATTCAGTCCCGCATGGCTCTGGAAACGGTTTCAAATCGGGTCCTTTTCGTTTCAGCAAATTCGGACCTGGATGGCAAACTTGAAGACCTACAAGCAACATCATAAACTCACTATGTACTCTTGTCGGCTAATTCGGCATAGTGAATGGAGAAAAATTTAGACACAGCGATGAACGATGAATGAAATATGATTGCAGATGAGCCCTTGACGATGTCTCTGTGCTAAACAAAAAAAAGCTTCCGATCGATAATGCATTAGTTTGTATGCAATATTGTTCTTTACCTTGCGGCGAAGTCCCCCTGGCTGCTACGATAAATCAGGAATCACAAATTATTGTAATTAATAAACTTTCAATTTAGAACACTTAAAATATTATACAATACTTTAGTAAGTTGTATTTCAGCGAAGTATTTTTATGTCATTGATTCTACTTTAGCTCTAAAAATAATATCCTATATTATTAAATAAATAAATAATTAGTATTAAAGATAATATTACTTTTGCGATCTACTTCACAAAATACAACTTAAATAATCGTTAAATAGATTGTTTCACTATATACTCACGATGTAAGAAGCAGTCGTACTTGAAGCATCTCCTGCAGAACAAAGTATGAAAAGAATGCATCGTTTGTTCTCTAGGTACACTTCTTGCATTTATACCATCTATATTAGGCGTACATTCTGGCGGTAAAACATTTGGATCGAATCTTTCTGTTAATTCAATATATTTTTCTTTTAATTCTTCTGGTCTTCCTTTATCAGGGAACATGCTCGATATTGCCTGAAAATAATTATAAAGCAATTATGTTATAGGATTATACTATTTAATATTTGGTAATATTTATATAATTTCCTTTATTTAATATTTGATATTTATATAATTTCCTTACATTAAATATATGCATTGAGGGAAATGGAGTAGCAGCAGTCCTCCCACTTTCAGTTTTTTCTGTCTTTGTTTCAATCTTTATTTCATCTTTCTTGTCGTTTTCTTTTTGATTTTCTTTTTCTTTTAAGGATTCCTTTCCTTTCTTTACCTGTTCTTTGTCCTTATCTTCTCTCTCATAATTTGCTAGAGCATTCACTAAATCGACAAAAATGGAATCATCCATAAAACCAGATTCTCTATCACCATGGACCTGCAATAAAATGAGTGACAATAAAATTCATCACATGGGATGTTTCCAATAAGAAACACAGTTGACACAGTATAACATAATGAATCATTACATTCTTGTTGTCTTATCATCAATATTAAATAAGAAAGAAGAAATAATTCAGTATCAGGGTTATGACACAGAAAACTTTAAGCAGTAAGATATAAGCAATAAGGAAATCAATATGTTGGATTTACAAACAATCTCTATTATGATTGATCGCGTCACTCAACTGTTATGAGCACTCGCTGCTATTGGTGTATTCTTTTGAATCATCCAATAGCAGTTGAGTCTGTTGAACACGACCATTAACTAATTCACTTATTGTTTATTCACTTCAGTTTTTTGTGTGTCATGATCCTAACACTGTATCATGTTTTAATTATTCTCCATACTTTTCCATCATAATTTTTTATAAGTTCCTCGATAAAGGTACCATCCTGATCCAAAATTTCATCACCCATATAAGGAATGTTATGCAAAACGGTTTCATCCTCTACCATAAAATTCTGTTGAATGGGAGCCCATGTATACATGGTTGGTATAGGAGTCACTGCATTAATTATTTTTACAGGACAACTTTGCACATCGCCATCGGGACTAGTAATTTCAGCTTTCTTCATACAAGAAAGATGAGGTGGAATGTCTTGCATTGCCAGCCACGTTGCCTTTCCATCTGTCCAACGCTTTTGTTCAGCAATAAGAAGCTCTATTCAACAAAAAATCATAAACAATTAATGTAATACAAAGTTGTATGCTAATATTGATAAGTATCTATTTTTTAGTTTGTGCTTAGACAAATACAGAAAGAAGTTAAAGGATTAATGAGATAGAAGGAACAGTGAGAAAGACAATAAAGAAAGAATGACTGAAAATTGAAGACTGCATGGAATTTAGCTGTAAAGTATAGATACAAATAAAAATTAAAAGTTGATAGAAATAGAGGAAAAAAAATTAATATTGTAAGAAAGAAAATCCGAAATAAAAAGATGTGGAGAAGAGACAGAAGTATAGACAAACTGAAAAAGATCAGATAGGAATAATATTGTATTTTCTTTCCTATCTATATCCCTCCATCCCTCTATCTATTCCCTCCTTTTTTAGTCTCACTTCTTACTACTTTTTAACATCAAGTTTACCTTCTTTCTCTGAAAAGCAATTAAATTTAAATTTATTTTGTCTCATAACATCAAAGAAAAGAGACATCTTTCTCTATTGTGCCTGATACATATTTTAATTGAATTCTCATTTTTAATTGAATTCTCAACTACAATCATGAAAGGTATTCTTTCTTATTTAATTTAATTGGAATTTAATTATTTTAATTAAATATAATAGATATACATTTTAACTTTCACTAATATTAGTATTGTATTATTTAATAATATTAAATTATTTCTGTTATTCTTATATAATTTTACATTATTATATTTATAATTATAATTTATTATATTCCATTCTAGACACCAATTTATAATCATGCACTGACATTCTTTTGCACAAGACGAAGATTCATTTTAATTACTGATACCAACGGTTATATAATTAGACAATGGGAAGTAATTTTTATTTTTCATCGACCATATGTTATGTTTTTATCGTTTTGACAAATTTTATAAACATTGATAATGATGATCCAAATGTTAGCCGTGTTTTATTAGAGTTCATAATAATTAAATAAGACTTTATATTTATCTATCAATCTTTCTATTTGTTATATTTGACTTATAGCCCTTCTCTTTTAACTCATTTTTAAATTTTTGAGCCATAATATCATTATATAATAATAATATTGTAGTTGAAATTGACAAGTTAGGGAGTTTAGATTTAAAAATAGAACAACATAAAGGATGGAAGGATGTGAGAATATGGAAAAATATGAACCACATTCTCTTCTTGGCTTTGTGTGCTGAAGAAAAGATTCTATTCTATTAGCTTTTTAGCATTACAACGACAAATACTTACCTGTCATGACTTTGCGATTCTGGTTCCACGCGATCTTGACTTCGTCCGCTCGTTTATAGCGTTTCATTTGCCGCAATCGCATGTACTCCGATTTTACCCTCTTCCTCCATTCCGCTGTAACTTTGGCTTTCGACATAATAACATAAATGCACAATTTTCGAGTAAAACTAATAAATGCTATTATACATATTGCTATATATCTTCTTCTTTTTCTTTTACGGCACGTGATCTCCGAAAACAAGTTCGATACGGTCAATATATTATTGCTATATGTACATCAAACAACATAAATTGACAAAAATCGCCATTTGGTTTACGAAGTGAACGTGAAGGCCAGCGAAGACTAGAAACAGCTGGCGCCACTATTCAAGTGTAGGTGCACCACATCGTTGCGCAACATCGGCACGTAAATAACGTTATCTTATTGGTCATGAAGACTGCACTCTTCATGCAAGTTGTTGAATCTCTTTGGTTCCAGTCTTTCGTGATCGTTTGTCCGCGAATACGAGATACGAGGAAAGCTAGTGTTTTCCCGTTTTCCGGTCGTTGCGTTATCAAGTATATTAAGTTTAGGTTAAGTTATGTTAAATTTCATTCTTTGACGTGTGAGCATTAGTAAATGAGTCCGATTAAAGTTTATTAAAGTATATATTCGCATATACGATTCGCATATACGAGAGACATATTGCCTTATTGTAAATCTCACAAAATATCCGTAACATCTTTCTTCGAACAACAAACGCAACACAAAAGGATAAAAAGTCTTAGTTGAAACAGTTGAATTGATTTCGTGAGATTATATGAGTGTAACTGCATTTTTATCCGAAGTACTATCATGACCGACGTTTTATAAAAGTTTACTACACTGCCAAAATTTGAACGGTTAGTTCATGATACAATATTAATTTTATGATTTATTTTATTTTGATGTTTTATAATAAATATAAAATTTAGATATATATATTACATGATAATATTCGATTTTTTATTTAAATGCTGCACTTCTATTGTTGTTATTCGTATTTAATTATGTTTATTTATTATATGATAAAACAATATGGAAGAAAATGTAGATTTGCAGCATATGTATATGTGATTATTGTGTAAATATATACTTAATAACGCATCAAATAAAAAAGTAAGTCATAAATTTAATTATTACCTTATAAGTTTATTACTAAAATATTTTTATGTCGATGGTGGAAACAGTTGATGAAATCAATTCAATTATTTCTGAGTTTCTCACTTGACGAAAATTTACTCAGGCAATTTTTGACAGAACCTTATTGATATTTGAAGGAAGAGAAGAATAAATGTTGGACTACATAATATTTAGATAAAATATTTTAAAGAAGTAACGAAGCAATATATTTTTTTGGTAAGATATTATAATAATACTTTAAAAAACTTTAAAAAATATTTTTTTTTTATTTTTACTTTATTACATTATTTAAAAAATTTTCTTTAAATTAAATTATTTCAGAATTTTTTAATTTACAAAAAATAATAAACATTTCCAGATGATAATTGATTCAATTGATAATTAAGTGAATT